CGGAAGACATAGGTTGCAGCAGAGTTGGAACTGGAGTTCCTGGTGCCTGGGAGGGACTTGACAGCCTGAGATGTCCACCTTCCCTCGCTCAGAGCCATCTGAGTCTGTTCACAGAATGTTCTCTCGCGCGGAATTGCTTCCTCTTCCAGGTTGTGCAAAGGGCAGTGCCCCCAGGATGCTGGACGTGTAACTATCTCTTGCCCCTGCCTGTGGGGAGTTACCCCAATTTCCAAAAACAGCCATGAAGAAGGAAGGATGCCCAGCCAGTGTGGCTCAGCGGTTGAGCATTGACCTATGAACCAGGAGGTCGCAGTTCGATTCCTGGTCAGGACACATGCCCGGGTTTCAGGCTCAGTTCCCAGTAGGGGGCATTGTGCAGGAGGCAGATAATCAATGATTCTCATCATTGATCTTTCTCTCCCTCCATCTCCCTCTCTGAAACCAATAAAAATATATTTTTTGAAAAAAGAATAAGGAAGGGAAAGGGAAAGGCAGGCGAATGGCATGGATTTTACTAAAGAGGAGACGGTGCTACCGCCTCTGTGACCAGGAACTCACGGAATTCTGCAGCCATCCGAGAGGGGAAGTGTTGCACTCAGCTTGTTTTTGCCTCTAAGATCTTCACAGCATCTCAGTGCTGTCAGTGGTCCTGTTGCAACATAGTTATCAACCGGTTCGAACCAGCCCTTATTTGGTGAAGTCAGGACTTGGGGTTGCTGGTCAGGGAGGGCCCTATTGGAGAAGCATAATTCACAGGCACCTGTCAGTGGGCAAGAGGCCGTGGTTATGTGTTTTCTTTAGTCCATTTTGTACATCTTTACATCGAGGCTTCCTGACCAGTTACCGAGAATCTAAGCAAACACAGAACTTTCCCTGGAGATCAGGCAGGAACCTGAGCAGGAGACGGCATACCTGGGGCCGCCGGCCTGTTTGAAGGGCAGTGGCCTCCAAACCACTGCACCCCACAACCAGGGAAAACGGCCTTTGTTGCTGGAAACGAGGAATTTGGGCATCCAGACTGCAGATGCCTCAGTGCCAACTTAGAATGTCAGGACGGCTTTTGAAATGCCTGTTTTAAGATGGAACCCGTGTTTTTATCGTTTGATTTTGGTGCTAAATAAACGACCCGCTTTGTATTGATACCGTCTGTGCGAGTCCTTCAGCTGATGCGGCAGAGCCATCCCAGACTTCTGTCTTTGATCGTGTTTGACGATAACGCCCAAAGAAAGCCGTGTTTTAGCAGCTGCTCTTTTGTTTGCATGCTATTCATAATTGGAGTGACAGTCTTAGGGAAGTGCTGTGTCCTACAAAGGTGGGACTTCCATGGCGACCGCAGCGTTTTTTAAGCATATTGATTGATTTTAGAGAGAACAAGGAAGTGGCGGGGGGACATTGAGTTGTCCCTGCCGAGTAACCTCCCTCGAGGTCGTGACATTCCTCCTGTGGTGTCGCCGGGGATGGGGTCTAAAGGACGGTGCAGATGAGGCTCCCCCAGAAGCCAGAGGCCTCCCATCTGCCTGCTTTTCAGAGGGCAAAGTCAGGTCCACTACAAGGAGCATCATTTCATTAAACTTTATTTGAAAATAATTTTAGATTTCTGGGCCAGTTCGTTGTAAAGACAGTACCAGGCGTTCCCATATAGCCCTCCCCGGCTTTCCCTATCACGTTGTCATGTCCGGGCCTCAAACACTTCACCAACCACAGGCTTTATTCGGATTTCACCAGATTTCACCCTAGCGTCCCTTTGCTGTTTCAGGATCCAATCCGGCGTTGCATTTAGGGGGCAGTCGATTTTTAAAGCAAAGCAGAGGGTCAGACTCCTCCCTGCGTTAACTTCAGAAGTTAAGCTTATCCTGGCTGGCCTGGCTCCGTGGTTGAGCATCCACCTATGAACCAGGAGGTCACGGTTCGACCTCAGTCAGGGCACATGACGGTTTCTGGCTTGATCCCCAGTGGGGGGCGTGCAGGAGGCAGCCGATCCATGATTCTCTCTTATCGATGTTTCTCCCTCTCTGAAAAAAAAAATTATATATATATTTATTATTATTATTATTATTTTTAAGAAATTGAGCTTATCGGAAAGGATTCCCTGCATAGGGTTGGGTAACGGGCTGACTAGGGGCCTCTTTAGCCTCCCCAGGAGCAAGCTGCTGCTAAGCTCAAGGAGGGAAAGAATATTTGCATTTCCCCTGAAAATGTAACTTTCCCCCCAGTACTTGCATCTGATGGAGAAGGGCCTCTGATTTTTCTTAAAACTTTCAGCATTCTCTCTCTCTGATAGCAGCCCCTTGGTCTCCTCCCCTTTCCCATCTGGCACATCCCAGCTAATTCTCTTGGTGTCTAAATGAGTTTCAAATGAGCACGCTTTCTACGCCAACGTTATTAACAAGTGTCAGCGCAGCTCCGAAAATAGCGCCTGGGAACTGCTAACGTTTCCGACGAAGCCGAAGCCGCAAAGAGAACACACAGAACCAGAGGCTCCTTGCCCACCTCTGGCCAATTAAAACCAAACCAAAAAAAGCCCCGAGCTTTAGATCTTTGTGATGTTTTCTGCTCCCTCTCGCCCTTGAAGAGAGAAGTTTATGTGGCTCCCACGCGATTCGCATGGCTCCCCTTTTGCAAGTAAAATTCATTCCCTGCAGCCAGCGTGTGATTTGTTTTTTTGGATGCAGAAAAGCAAGTGAACAGCTAAGGAGTATATTCCATTGCAACAGGGAGAGAAGAATGCTATGACTCGGTGAAGGAAAAGTGTGGTGAGTCCAGGCGGCAAGGCTGAGTGGTTAAGCGTCGACCTATGAATCAGGAGGT